TAACCAGCAAATTAACCCTTTTTCTGTCAAATTTATTACTCTTTTCTTTTTGTGCAACCTATCAAATTTATTAGAGATAATTGGCCAATACACTCCAAATGGGGGTCTATATTAGTCACTTGCCCATGATGGGACTAATTTATTTTGTCTGACCAAATTGCCCTTCTTTCTCTCTCTCCTTCTTTTCTGCATTTACATGTGGGTGTGTCAGTTTTTTTTTTCATTTTCGTTATCAATGCTCTTCTCTCCTCTTATCATTTTTCAAAATGAATTAAATGCAAAATAAATATGTTAAATATTTTTGAGTTCACTTTGATTCTTAAATAATAATTTTAAATATGTTATTAGAGAAGTATATACAATTAAATTTTAAATTTCATTATTTTTTTCATAAGTGGCTTTGAATCCTCAATTTTTTGATGATATCAATTTTCTGGGTTTTAGATTCGACGTCGTGTTAGCGGTTAACAAATATTGTAAACGTTAACAGAAGTGTTAGTTGTTAACAATTATTTTTACGCTTCGCATTAATAAATGTGTTCGTTGTTAACAAATATTGTAGACGTTAACAAAAGTGTTAACTGTTAACAATTATTTTTACGCTTCGCGGTAATAAATGTGTTGGCTGTTAATAAATATTGTAAACGTTAACAGAAGTGTTATATGTTAACAAATGTTTTTATGCTTCGTGTTAATGAGAGGAAAGAGAAAGAGCATTCTCGGCATTTCCTTGCAAAATGATTGTGTCAGTATCCTCCATATACAATCAATGGTATTTTGCTAATTTGAGCTTCAAATATGGGTAGTTCACTAAATCACTCAATTTATTACCCTTGTTTCGATTTATTTATCTTTTTTTCAGAAAATTTATTTATCTTCTTTCGTTCTTATTAGGAGTATTTTGTTATTATCTTTCCCGCTTTCGCCTATATAAAATTGTCATTGCACCTACTTAATCAAATTCAAAGAACTTTTTTTTAACTAACCATAGCCAGATTAGACCGAGGCTAGCACACGTCTTGAACCAAAAAACAAAGATTAAAAAAATACATAGGAATATTGGCTTATACCAATTTACAAACATAATGTACTTAGACACAAATCCTACCACATACGTTCATCTATCACTTCATATTCTTCCATGTTACGTTGTTTGACCTTAGAATACAACATGCATTGGTCATAAATTGATGGCACGCAGTAAATACAGGCAAGACTGGATCTGGATGATAATATCAGATGGAAATGAGAAGATTTGCCAAATGATCCCTGATGTTAGATTTATTGTGATGGCAACGTCTTAATTACTTCGGTGGATAGAACAACCTTTAATTATCATATAACATCAAAGCAAGCGGCTAAATACCCATACGGATAGCATCAATCGTCGTAGACAATCTTTAAGAAGACAACATAAATACATATCTATAATTTCAAATAACACTCTTCTTGCGTGTAATGTTTGTTAAGCCTCTTGTGGTTTCCATCTTTCTTTTTCTTTTTAGCAAACAGACTCAACACCTCTTGTGAGTTTGGGTTTAAAACTTGTTTTTTTTTTCTTGAATCATGTTTACCTAATAGAAAGATCTATGATATAAGTTTTAGAAAAAAGAAAATCTCACAAATTTTTTTTTTCTAACTCGTTTGTAAACCAATAATGATAGATCTGGATGGTGTAACAATTCTATGAATGAGTATATTAATATTTTAATTTATGGATTTATTTCCATAAAATTTCATTGTTTTTTTTTTGTTTTTTGGATCAGTTATTGTTGTTATGATTTTTGATATCCCAATTTAAATATACGTGTAGGCGATCACGCTCTTTTGGGTTAAACTAAAAATAAGATTGTCTAACATGTTAACAAAACTAAAAAACTATTCAAATACGCAATTAACGGGAAAAATGGGGATCAAAGAGGGTAGTCAAATAAAAAAGAAATAAAAATAGAGGGACATATTTGGTAAGAAAGACCAAACAAGATTCTGGTCAGTATTCTGTATTCAGAGTGTTATAAATACAGATAAGGTTAGGTGTAGAGCAAATGCTCAAGCCCGTCAAAATAATATCTTCCTGAAAGCGAACGCGTAGTCCGGCACAGCGAGCCACCGTCGTACGGGAGAATAAGAAGTACGTACGGAACACGACAATTAGTTTTTTTTTTTTTTAAATATTCTTGACTATCTGTTTCTGTTTGTTATGTGTCGTGATTAATTTGCTTTGTTCTTAGGATTCAATTAGATAAAAAAATATGTTAGATTCTCGATCTGAGTTCATGTATAAACAATGTCCGTCTGAAAACGTTCGATAGTACGTAATCGAACAAATCATGCGTTCGATAGTGTTACGCGCTTTAAACCGGATCAGATCCACAAATATCTCAGAGACTACGTTCTGTATGTTTACTTTCGATCCTCTTCATACACAATATGCGTTGGTGTGTATATATTAGGCTCTTCTGTCCCCAGTAAATCGGAGAATCAGTCGTTTGTGTGTGTTTTTGCTTAGCACCAGAATTAACTTGACAAACAAGTCATCTCTTTCCTTTGCCTGAATAAGAGTTGATATGGATTATTTTTTCTTTTTCTTTTAAGAATCTCATACCAATCAAATCGTAACGTCTAAATAGTTTTCAGAACATTGTTGTGTTGTTCTTGATTCTCCTTTATTATGGACACCCGGTTTTCAACCATCTTGTTTGCTTTACACAGGCTGAAACTATAATAAGGAGATCATGGATTCTGAATATACAAAAGATGGAACGCTTGACATTCACAAGAAACCAGCAAACAAGAACAAAACAGGAACCTGGAAAGCTTGCAGATTCATTCTCGGTAATTCTTTTGTACAAATTAATTATTTAACCAAAATCGGTTTCTTAGTGAGTTATGATTTGGATGAAACTGGCAGTGACTGAGTGTTGTGAAAGATTGGCATACTATGGACTGAGTACAAATCTGGTGAACTATATAGAGAAACATCTCAGTATGGGAAACGTAGCTGCTTCCAACAGTGTCACAAACTGGTCTGGAACATGTTACGCCACTCCTTTGATCGGTGCTTTTCTCGCCGATGCTTATCTCGGTCGTTACTGGACCATCGCTTCCTTCGTCGTCGTCTACATTTGCGTAAAGTTTCATCTCCTAACACATTAAAAAATCATATTTATATTTGTTTTCTGAACCTAAAAAAAAAAAGGGATTGAAAACAGGGAATGACACTATTGACGTTAACAGCTACGGTTCCTGGTCTAACACCAACCTGCAACGGTGAAACCTGCCATGCTACAGAAGGCCAAACCGCGATCACGTTCATAGCGCTCTACTTGATCGCACTCGGAACAGGAGGGATCAAGCCATGCGTCTCCTCTTTTGGTGCTGATCAGTTTGACGACACAGACGAAGAAGAGAAAGAGTCTAAGAGCTCTTTCTTCAACTGGTTCTACTTTGTGATCAACGTTGGTGCAATGATCGCTTCCACTGTTCTTGTTTGGATTCAGATGAATGTTGGTTGGGGCTGGGGTTTCGGAGTTCCCACGGTAGCCATGGCTGTGGCTGTGCTATTGTTCTTCGCCGGAAGCAAGTTCTATAGGCTTCAGAAACCAGGAGGAAGTCCCATCACAAGAATGCTTCAAGTCATCGTTGCTTCTTTCAAAAAATCAAAAGTGAGAGTCCCTGAAGATGAATCTCTTCTCTACGAGATACACGACGCTGAAAGTAGTATCCAAGGAAGCCGTAAGCTCGAACACACCTCTAAACTAACGTAAAAACACGCTCTCTCTCTCTCTAACTCTCATTAACCAAACTCCAATCTTTAGTTTGTTGCCTTGTTTTTTTTTAACTTTTTAACATTTTTGCAGATTCTTGGACAAAGCAGCAGTAGTAGAGACAGAGAGTGATGAGACCAAAGAAGCAGCAGCTAAATCGAGATGGAAGCTATGTACAGTGACGCAAGTGGAAGAGCTCAAAGCACTGATCGGTCTCTTACCTGTTTGGGCCTCAGGGATCGTCTTTGCTGCGGTTTATAGCCAAATGACCACAGTGTTCGTGCTACAAGGCAACACAATGGACCGAAGCATGGGACCTAACTTCACTATCCCTTCCGCATCACTCTCCTTATTCGACATTCTTAGTGTCCTCTTCTGGACACCTGTCTATGACCAGCTCATCGTTCCCCTCGCCAGGAAATTCACTGGTCATGAACGTGGCTTCACGCAGCTTCAACGTATAGGAATCGGACTTTTGATCTCTATTTTCTCAATGGTCTCTGCCGGAATCCTAGAGGTGGCAAGGTTAAGCTACGTGCGAACACACAATCTCTACGATGCGGAAGAGGTTCCAATGTCCATATTCTGGCAAGTTCCGCAGTATTTTTTCGTGGGTTGCGCAGAGGTATTCACATTTATAGGGCAGTTGGAGTTCTTCTACGACCAAGCGCCTGATGCAATGAGGAGTCTTTGCTCGGCATTGGCGCTGACGACGGTGGCGTTAGGGAACTATCTAAGCACATTACTGGTGACGGTTGTTACTAAAGTGACTACGAGTGGTGGAAGAGCAGGATGGATAGCTGATAACCTGAACAGAGGTCATCTTGACTATTATTATTGGTTATTGGCTGTTTTGAGTTTCTTGAACTTCTTCGTCTACCTTTGGATTGCCAAATCCTACACTTACAAGAAAGCCACTGGGCATGCACTCTGACGTTACATATATCCCGTCACAATACTTCCGCAGTAATCTTGCTTCGCTCTGCTTCATAATCCCTTCTTTTTTTAACTTATTTACAGTTATATTTACAAGACAGTCATATATATCCCGTCACAATACTTCTTTTTTAACTTATTTACAGTAATCGCTCTGATTTGTCAGTACCGAAGAACATCTGCATAGCATGGTTTTTGAACATTGGTTGATTCGTCTTGTTTGACCTGACTTTCTCTAATTCCATTTGATTTTAGTTTTCACTTTGTACCAGTGATTAGTCGCTGATCAAACGCTTTTTAGATTCAGAAGCAAGTTTTGAAGGACTCTGCATGAGATTTTACAGACTAATAATGAAGCAGCAGCAGCAGGTTAATTTCTGTGGTTCCAAAAAGGCTTATTCTGGAATGGAAAATCACAATACATATTATATAATCTCAATACTGAAAATAAATAAAAATTAAAGAGAGATAAATGGTGTGGTCAATAGAGCCTCATGACTCTCCTTGCTATAGAGTGGCCATGACTATTAGCTCTAGCCGCCGTCTTCTCCCACCCACTAGCACCGCCACCACCACCACCGTTGCCATTTCTCCAACTGGGAGTCAAATAAAACCTCAACATTCCGTTATCTCCTCCATCCTTGGAAGAATTCCTCCAACTCTTATTCCTGGACGATCCTCCTCCCCCGGAGCTCCTCCAGCTCACATTGCTGTTACTCCTCCTCATCTTTGGTCCTCCTCCTTCGTTCCTCAGCTCGGGCCATGATTCGGACAAGGACCTCTCGACCATGCCGGTGCTGTTGGATCTGCTATACCTATCTTCTTCATCATCCTCGCCCTTGCTGCTAACACCTTTCCTGTATATAAACCCTAGCATGCTCCATTTCCCCCACCTTCTCGATTTCTTATCACCATTCTCATTCACTTTGTTGTTGTTGTTGTTCTCAATGGAGGAGTATGGCTCAGCTGCTGTTATCGCCGGAGAAACTCTAGAATTGGACACCACCGATTTGACATCCTCCATCTCCATTGCTTTTTTAATAGAATTGGATCTGTCGAGGCTCTTCCTCCTCCGCGACGGAGGTTCCGTGTAGTAGTCTCTGGTTTGCGTCGATCCACCCGGAATTATGATTATCGGGTCCGATTCTCCATTAATCGACGGATCTTCCACCGGAGCCTGCATTGGCGCGTTTTCCACGACTGATAGCATCGACGGCGGTGGAGGAACCCTAGCCGTCGGCGGTAACGTGGTGTTCCTGCCGATCAAGTGACCATCCCACGACGCTCTTGGCTCGTCTAACGAGTAACGAGAATCGTCCACCGAAATGCGACCGATATCGACGGAGAATCTCCCGGCGTCAAGGGAGAATCTAGGGTCGGTGTCGCTAGATCTCCTGCCAGCGATCTCAGACTGTGTATCCCTTTCCCTAGGCTGTCTTCTATCCACCGCCAACTGTGGGCGTCCTCCTACTTGGCCGCCACGTGGCTTCTTGATCTTCTGCTGCTTGTGCCTCCATTTCTGAAGCTTTTTGCTGAAAACAGAGGCCGCCGAGAAGAAACTACCGGCGAAATCTCTGACGGAAGGCTTCTTAGTGTGTGGATAGAGATCCATGTACTCCTTCATTGGCTTCATTTCCTCTACTGACCTTTTTACTTCCTCCTCCCTTTTTTCCTCTCTGATTTCACCCACCCAATCATCATTCACTATCTCAGAGCTTTCTTCTTCCTCAGTTTCTACTTCTTCAGTCACCTCCTCGACAACTGCCTCACTCACGCTTGACTTCCTAACCTCCTCCTCCTCCATCTTACCAGCTTCTTTACTGCTGGAAAGGTTTCTATTTTCTTCACGAAGCCTGACGTCACAAGACCGACGCTGTGGCTCAATCCCACCGCAGATTCCCTCGTTGTTCTTTGCTGAAAATGATTTGCTTCGCCGGAGCTCCGGGAAGAAACCTGCTCGGACCCGGCCGTTCCCATTGGCGTTGCTAGTAGAGGGCTTGAAGAGAGCTTTCAACGCTGCGGTGGAGATGGTGGGTGGTTTCCTGGAAAAAGAAGATGACGACGGCTGCTGCGGCGGAGCTCCGTTGTGATCTAAGACGGAGAGTCGTTCGCAGAGACAAGAAGGACAGAAACCGGAGAAGCGCTCCTCTGGGTGAACATCGCAGGATGTTGATAGGCGATGCGGTTGAGTCGGCGGAGCTAGCTCCTCTGCCGCGACGGTGGAGAGATCCATGAGAGGAAACAATGAGTGGTTCTTCTTTTGCTATCAATACTCACTCTCTCTCACTGTCTCTGCTTCGAGAAAGGAAGAGAGATTGTTGTTTATGTTTCAAGGATCCGTCTGTTATCAACGGACATTGACAGAGAAATGAGAAAAAAACTAAATTATATAATTATTTGTTTTATAGTAAATCCTTTTCTTTTATTTCCCTTTAAATATAATGCAATTGAAATTGCAATGGGCCTGGAAATGTTGGATTTTTTGCAGGTGTCAGATAAAATCTGCACAAATCGTTGTTATTTAAAAAGAACGTTCATTTGCATTCTTAACTTTTTTTATTAAAAATATAAAAATAATGGTGCTATTAATTTTAGATCAAAAGAATGTGTTATTAAATATCAAATGGTGATCAGTGAGTATGATAGATGATTTACCTGACAAACTAGTTTTCTACACTGTCTTTCTATCTGTCGGCTAAGCTAATGCACGTACATATATGGTATGTACACATCAAATGTAAAATTATATATATGTACACCAAAGATTAGCTCGCATTTTCTAATCGTAAAATATTGTATTTCGATCTTTTATATTTCTTCTATTTTTCCATGTCGTTTCTTTATTTACAGCTACCAAAGTACATTTGTTTCATCCCTTTTAACGTTTTTGGTTCGACTACAAATAATATATAGGTCACTGAGATATGATATAACATGTCATAAGATATGAGATATGGGGTTAAAATAATAGTATAAACTGTTCTCATGTTATATACTCAAATATAATTAAAGATATGCATTGGATTTTCAAAGATTCCAACCAAAAGAGCCAACAAAAAGCAGAGAAAGCAGAAAAAGCTAAAAAGCAATCTCACGCCATCAATCTCATTTGTTGTTTTGTCTCTCTCTCCCTCCCTCTTTTTTTCTTTCTGTCTGCAAGTATTATTTTGTCAGTGTCATCGTGTGTGGGGTGGAATAGGTTATAGAGTATACAGACTCCAAACAAGCTAATCCTATAATTTTTCAAAGTGTTACTTAATCTAGACGTAAAATAAGTCATGTCAGACCAACAGAATGAGTTCGATGCTATGTTGAAGCGTGTGTATGTATAAATTCTCGTTCATGCGAGGTAAAGTAGGAAGTTCCATTGATCACCCTCGTACAGTATTTCATTATTTCATGCGCTGGTATTTATTTCATGAAAACCATCAAATATATACTTATCAGGGAACCTCTATTTTTTTTTTGTTAAATGTCAAATGGCGTAACAATGATCCATTAACCTCAACGCAATCAATGCCACTAATGTGGGCTTTTACATATATTCTCACTAACCAGATTTTCTCATTTGGTATTTACTATATTTTAGTGTATATATATATACTTTAATAATATCATGATTTTAAAAGGGAACTTTTTCTTTTGTTTGTGCAATTAAAATGAATTATATATTTTCAACGATATATGAAAAGTGTAACCTTACATGGAAATGAAAGATCCAAAAAGAAACACTGTAGCAAAAGAATCTGCAATGAATTATATTTACACAGTCGATTCTACATGATAGTTAGTTTAACATCATGTGTTAGTAGGGGTGGGCACGGATCGGATATCCGGGTTTTTTAAGGTATTTGTGATTTGCTTCGAATGTTACGGATATCTAATTTTGGTATTTGCTTTGCTTCGAAAAAGTACGGATATCCGGAAAAACGGATATCCGGAAAATAAATAGATATTTGCGGATATTTACGAATATTTACGGATATCTCATCCATTTTGATTAATACAAATAATCTTAAGATTTTGATACAAATTTGCTTTGCAAAAAAAGTTTTTTGCATGATATATAAAATAAAACTTAAAAGAACTAGTGAATTTATATATTTTGTAAACTTTTAAGCTTAAGTTACAATTATAATAACACAAAATTTAAGAAAAAAAATATAATTGTCATAATTTTCTTTCTTTCTTTTTATGTAATACTTTTATATAAGTAATAATTTGAATAGAATTGTTCAAAATCATATGCTAGAATAATAACTATATAATTTTCTACATTTAAAATGTTAAATATAATCAAGATATACATATATTTTATATATTTACGGATCGGATCGGATATCCGCTTCTCAAAAATTTACTATTTGTGATTTGCTTCGATTTTAACGGATATTGAATTTTAGTATTTGCTTTGATTCGAAAGTTTACGGATATCCGGAATTTTCGGATCGAATCGAAACGGATAACGAATCGAATCAAATATAACGGATAAAATGACCAGCCCTATGTGTTAGTAGTATATATTATCTTTGTTCGGTCATAATGATTTGTAATTAATCATGAACATCACGACAATGATTAGCTTTTTTTTTTCTTTTTACATTTGAAATTTATATGGGGATCGCAATAATTAATAAAAACATGTGGAAAAAGTTTCTTTAGATCTCAGTTTTCTTCCAGTCTCATAATGTGAAATAATGTTGTCTTGCAAAGATTGCTATGTATCATTATGGTTCATAATTGGAGAATCCATTTGAAACAATATGTCTCAGAGCCCATACATACATTCTCCAGTTGCATATTATAGTAGGTTAGTTCAAAAACAATCTAGAAAAGAAGAAACCACACTAATTATCAGAATACCAAAGTCTAGACTTGTACCCATTAGCCCCTTGAAGATACAAAGTATATGCAATTTATAAATTTGTAATAAATGCTAGCTGAGATTAAAAGTGCTGCTGAATAGTGAAGGAATCCCAAAAAGAAAAAAGAGTCTATGAACTATTGTTCTGTGAGTATTTTACTTGAAGATACATAAAACAAAAAAAGATGACAAATATCTCGGCTTTTACTATATCAAGAGCCTTTTGTATTGTCTTTCTTTTTGCTTAAAGATGATGAGACATGTGCAGATGATTGGACATTTACATGTTTTGTGTATACTGGTTTCTACATTCTGGTGGAAAACAAACTACTAAGCAGGATGGATGTATAAGCAAAGTAAGACCGGTTGGGATATCCATTAACCCTTAATGTAACTAACCTTAAAATATGAGGAACTTTGGTTCTACGATAAGAAGCATTGTTAGGGAGTAACTTGCTGATCTTACAAATAGATTGTTAACGTGTACCTGTTCATGTCACTTGTGTCGTGCAGCTTTGATGTCAATTTGACTCGCATTGCATTTTAGTTGAGCTCAAGTCAGTTTGATTTATGGGCACAAGAATTGAGGTCAATCGAAGTTGGAATCAAATAGGAAGCGTCCTAGAAACACTTTTTGAAACTTTTAAACGAATAGTTTAACATTACATAGAAGAAAAAAAAAGAGTTGGAAATTAGGCTTATAGTTTTACTCCTGCCCAAAGCCATCACGGTTATCTTGTTGCCACCCAAAACCTTGAGTGTCTCTACCCCTGTTAACTTGTTGAGGCGGTGCCATAGCAGGATTCCATGGAGACTGAGGAGGATAAGATCCTTGGAAACTCAGATTCATCACTGGCGCAGGTTGCTGCTGCTGATACCCTTGTTCTGAGCCGACGCTGCCTTCTGGTCTTGTCATCTCAAAAGGTGCACCAGCGTTATTATAGAATTGCTGAGACGATCCATCGCTTGTTGTTGGATAAGGTGGAAAGCTAAACTGCTGAGGCAAAGCCGGGTTTTGATTCATGGGCGGGGGTTGCATCATATTGATAGGCGGAGGAGGGTAGTGGAGTCCTGGTTTAGGACTAGCGGTTTCGAAACCAGGAGGACGAGAGTTATCGTTATCTGCTGCAGGAGGAGGGTAACTCTGAACTTGACCAAATCCAGACTGTTGTGGCTTTGACAAGGATGCAGACCTGTGTAGCAACGGCTGTGGGTGTTGCTGTTGGGATCTTAAGGGAGCTCGCAAGGTGGATTCAGAAGCAGAAGACTGCTGCTTTGTGCTCTGAACATCAGAGTCGTTGGCATCATCTTTATCTGGATCGGGGTGTAATAGGGTGGCGTGGAGGTCATGGACATGGGCTTCGAAGTCAGGCTTCTTGAGGAAAGACCTGAGACAGTGAGGAGCAGCACAGATGAAGATACCTTCCATCATCTTGATAGTCTGAATCTTTTGAATCCGTTCATCACATCTGTTCACATACACAAGAGAGAGAGGAGAGGATTTCAGTTTGATAAACCCCATCATTTCCTAAGAAAACTCTAAGAGGTGACCAAACAAAGCCTATAGTATACTTCCACGTCTCTTAACATTTGATGATTACAGTAAGGTCTCTCCAAATATACGAAACATTTGGGTTCATAAGTGCATTGAAAAAGGAGAGAAAGTAGGCAAATACAAGTAAGGAGGGGGGACTACTTACAGATAGCAGATGGAATCACTACGAGCACATTCGAGACAAAAGGCATGATCACATGGATTCTGTTACACAACCAAAACAAACAAACAAACAAGTTTTAATCAATCACATACAAGAAATCAAAAGCCCTTTCTAAAGAGAAAAAGGGGGGGGGGGGGTTAGCACTTACCAGACGGCCATAGATAGCAATGGGGAAATCGCAACGGACGCAGAAATGAACTCTCTCTCCTAACTGCCTTCGTGACCGCCGTCCCACCGGCTTTATTACGGTGGTGGGTGTCACTGAACCGATCCCTTTCGCGACAGGGAGATCCGCGAGTACGAGATGGTCGGGACAAGCAACCGTCACGGTTTCCGTCGGCGAAGGTCTCGCTCCGCTTCCAGTCTCTGTGGGAGAATCCCTCCTAAGTCGAATCTGAAGCATTGTCAGAGCGATTCACGCCGGCGGCGAAAGGGGCGAAATAGGGGAGGGGAGTGATTTGTGAATCTTTATTTCTCCATTATTTTCCTCCTTATGCTCATTTAAATATATTTATTTCCAGAAACCTCTGACCCAGAAAGAGTGTTCATGATTTACGAGAAAAAACAGGCTTTGAGTTTCATAAATTAAAATCCATGTTTAAAACCAAAGTCAAAGAAGACCAACACATAACTAAAGAAAAAAAACAAAGGGAAATGTGGATTTCAAAATACAGTCTAGAGAACATTTTCAACAATAAATATTGATTCTTCTAAGTCTCCATCTTTGGCTTCTTAGCAATCATGTTCCATAGAGCACTGTTCAAAGCAGAGGATGTCCCCAAAGAAGCCCTCAACAGATTCATTACCTGATAACACTTCCTATCAAATTTTTGCTATTTAAAGGGTTAAATATAATCCCAACTCTATTACTAGAGAGAAATAAGTAGAAATGTTACCTCAGCTTCACGGATTCTAATGACATGAACATCCACATCCTCACCCTTAATCTGATACTTCTTCAGAAAGCATATGGATGTGCTCAAGCAACCCCTTGTTGTGATTATCAGATCATCCGAGACTGTAAACCTTCTTCCTCTCTTCACAAACCCACTTCCATTATCATCTCTGCCATGATGACTAGGAGACTTTGGATCAATCACAATCACTGGAACTATTCTGTCCTTTCGATACAGCAGAGTCCTATCACAATCTCTAGTCAAACTGTAGTCAGGCTGGCGAGGATTTGAATTCCTGTAACGGTAGTATAATGGTGCTTCTTCAGTGGTGATAACAGACACCTGCTTCTGACATTTATAGTAATGAGGAAGCACACATTTGGAACCTAACCCTTCTTCTTTCCTTTTATCAACAGTCAAATCCTTGAAGCTTCTACGTAAGTTTCCAGTGCATCCCAAACTGGTATCGCATACATACTCCAGAGGGACAGCGAGAAAACTGAAAAGAAGATCAACAAAGTCTTCTCCACACTCAACATACAGAATCTTCGTGTCTTGTTTCCTCACTATGGCATCAATAGTAAATTCTGATTCTTCTGATACCTCTGTTTTAGTCTCCTTCAGGCATGATGGAGTCAACAACAACTTGTGTATGTTTGTCATATCTTGTGGGCTTTGCTTCTTCAAGAGAGCGTCTGTCAAGGGTGTATTTGAGTAGAACACACACTCAAGAAGACGCATAATCTATATAGCAAGAAAAGTCAAATGACATCAAAAATCCAAAACCTTATTATTTCTAATATGATACACACACTATGCAATTATTAAATAAAAAAATGAGGTACCTCATTGAGACCGATGTCAAGAAGCTGTTCTCCAAGCTTACTAACATCAGAACAGCCTAGACTGTTGAGAGTTTTCAAGACAAGACCAGTCGAATCAACAGATACTTTCAAGTCGTCGGTGATGATGAAGGAAGACCTTCCACTTACAAACACTCCATCAACATCATTTTGTATGTGATCATCATCTTCAGTCAATTTGATTTCGTGTTCCATCAAGCTTCCACAAGCACAATCAGAGCCACTAAAATCACTGCACTTGTTGCAGTTTGAGAAAAAAGGGCACTTAAAGTACTTGAGGCCATCATCGTTAGGGTTTAGGTTGAGCTTAAGCCTTTTGCAATCGGCATCCTTCACACTCCTTGGGTTAAGCAACATCTCCTTACAAGCTCCAGTCATGAAGCTGTCAATGCTCATCTCCGCAACACTGTTATGGAGGTTACTAAAACATCCAATCTCCGATTTTTGATGCTTCTTAAGCAATCCGACGATGGTGCCCATTGGCAGTGTCATCAGGCTGAAGAGAACATCAACAAAATCTCTACAAGCCTCAGCCAAAACGACCTTGTTCTTCTCTTCATCGATAATAAGCCTCAAAGTAAACTTTGGCTCCTCTGATATTTCAGCCATTTGGGTAGAGAGAAAAGAAAGAAGTTTGGAAGACACTCCTAAAAAAAAACTAATGGATGCACACCAATATATTCAAACCCAGAGTGGCTTTACATTTAAGAATGTTCATCATTACCAAAGAGCCGTATAATTAAGCGCAAAAACAACCCTTTGAGCTTTCTTCTTAATTTGACTGCTTAATATTGAAATCAATACGCCGGACCAGATATTTTGAAAAGCACACTTAACTTTTGGGCTTCCCCTTACCTTTACTAGTGTCAGATATGTCTCTCATGCAAGTTTCTTTATTCATAAAAGCAGCGTTTCTTAAATTATAGTAGTAGTAGTTTAAATCCTGACATTAACTAAAAATCGGTCACAATCAAAATCCAGGAGCCGAATAAGTAAAACCAGAAAACAACCCTCCCCCTTAACTACGTAACCACATAAATAACAAAAGAGAAGCAAGTTAAAATGACATATTCATACAAAAGTAGGATGTCCAAGAAAACTAATATTAGTTGCAACTGAAACAGTCAGATTCTAAATAAAAAAAGCGATAAACATTAGCAACAACTTGGAAGTTTCGGGTTGAGAACGCTTGCTCCTCAAGTCTCAATCTTGGGCTTCTTATAAAACCGGCTTTCAGGAACACTTGTTGAAGATGGTTCCATAGCTAGAAGACCTGTGCTCAATGCAGAAAACGTTACCAATGAAGCTCTCAATAACCTGATCACCTGCAAAATGCATATAAATATACATGAATGAGAATGAATATATATAACTCTGTATTGTTAAAATCAAAGAAGAGCAAACTTTGATAAGCTTCTTTTTACCTCTTCTTGCTTCATACTGATCACTCGACATTCCACATCCTCTAGGCTGATTTGTTTATCTTTTAACATCCCCAAGACTGAGGATGAGTTGGAAGGAGTAATGACCAAATCATCTGTCACTATGAACTTTGTCCCTTTCTTCACAAACCCACTTGACTCATCAGCTGTGTTGTTATTTCCTTCCGATTTTGGGTCTATAGAAGTCACAGGCAAGAGTTTATCCCAGGCATACACAAGTCTCTTATCAGAGTTCTCAGTCAAACAGTACTCTCTAAAATGATCCACAGAGAAGGAAACAAAACGGTAGTAAGTAGGTGGCTTGTGTGTAGTGACTAAATCATCAAGCAGCTGCTGCTTCTGACACTTGTAGTAATGAGGCAGAACACACTTAAAACCCGAAGCTGAATCAACACTCAGTTCCTTGAAGCTTTTGCACAAGTTCCCAATGCATCCAAAGGTGACTCCGTTGCCTGATATCCCCCATACAGATTGTAGAGGCATAGCTAGAAAAGTGAAAAGAAGATCAACAAAATCTTCACCACACTCAACATACATGATGTTCCCTTCCTTCTTCCTGACATATGCATTCACTGTTATCGTTTGATCAGCTTTTGATTCCCTTTCTTCTTCGCTCAAGGCAGGAGGAGGACTCAGCATCCTCTTAATACCGCATGAGCTTTTCTTTTTCAGAAAGGTATCCGTCAGTGGAGTATCTGATGTGAACAAACACTTGAGCAAAGCCGTTACCTATATAACATTCAGATGACACTGTAGTTAGTTAAGGAAATGATGACGTTCAAAAATTCAAACTCTTTAAAGTTAAGTCTTTATATAGTAGAATATACTTGCCTCTTGGAGATTGAAGTCAAGAATCAAGTCAACCAGCTTATCGCAATCATCAGTGTAGCCAAGCTCTTTAAGAAGTTTAAGTGTAGACATAACAGAGTTAACCTCCACTTTCAAATCATCAGTGATAATGAATGAAGTATGAGCACTCCTAACAAACACACCATTAGTCCCTGCACTTGCTTTGACTCCTTTTCTTTGGAACTGAATGACTTCATTCATCAAATTCCCACAGCTACATCTAGAGGTGTTGAAATTGCTGTACCCTTTGCTACATTGCCCGCTTCTCACAAACATAGGGCACATGAAACATTTAGTAGCCTGTGAGTCATCATCTATCATCCTCAGCTTAGTCTTTTGGCATTTGTCTTGATTCAAACTCCCAGGGTACAGAAGCATCTGTTTGGAAGCTTCGGTGCTGAAATGCTTCATGGACATAGTCGCTACACTTGCGTAGATATTGTTGAAACAGCCGATGGGAACAGAAGAGTTTGACTTCTCAAGCAATCTAGCGAGAGTTCCCATAGGCAATGTTAAGAAACTAAAGAGTATATCGACGAAATCTCCACCCGCTTCAGCGTATACAACCTTGTTTTTCTCTTTATCTATGAGTAGCTTCAAGCTTATCACCGGATTCTCCAAACCATCATTAGACATGTTTTTTTTTTTATGGCAAAG